GTTTCTACTGGATTGTTAAAGTAGGGCCAATAAATGCACCAATTGTACAGTTAGATGGTTATCAACTATACCAATAGATGATGAGAAACAACAACAACAGCAATATGCACATGTTTTCCAGTTACAATTCTGGGACTTTTTTTTTCTACTAATGATGGTATAAAATGGATGCACACTCAGTAGGACATATGCATCAGATTTTCAGTTCTGTTACTTCAGTAGGCTAGTGAACTGTGATACAGTCATTTCTTGAAATTCCAGTTCATCACAATCAACATGGTGAACAAGTGACACTATACAGTGGGTGTTGCTAAACTTAAACTTCTGTGGATTAGTTGGGTTAAATGTATTTTCCACTTACCATATATTTAGGGCACATTTCTTAGGCTGTAACCCTCTCATTGTTTGAGGACTATCTATGTCTTAAACAGAACTGAAAATAATCCAGATTTTTGTGTTACATAAAGATTATATTTATCACTAAGTGTCAGTGTATTTTTAAAATATAAACCGTATTTTATATCTGAGATTTTCAACATTAGGCTACAGGTGTACCTGAAAACTAAAATGGTTACCATAGTGAAGTACATTCACATTTCACCTCTTGTAATGTTTTTCGTGATTAGTAAGAATTAAAATATTTTTTAAAAATACGTATTCAACAAAAATACCTATTCTAATATAATCCTGCTGGCTAAATTCCTGCAATTATACGTTAAAATCTAGATTTATATATCTTACATATCTAATACTTTTTATTTTTTGGCCCAAATCTCTGCAATCTATCCATAAATGCCCTCCAACACTAATGATAACCATGATATTATTATTTTGCATTTATGACTTACCTGATTTTTTAAAGCCTCATTTAAATAATTATTTATTTGAATACAGGAAATGTGATTGCATCAGTATTTCGGCAACAATGTTATTTTCAAATAAGTATCTCAATTTACTGTTGAATTATTAGATTAGTTGCAGGAAATTTTTTCTAGTGGTTTTGGTAAATATTTATTAACTGACATCCAAATTTTAGAGATACAAGTGTTGCCAAAATGACCTTTGATTTTCAAGGTTGTTCAACAGCATATTTGCATAGACCAAAAGAAAACATTTATTCATATGGAGGTGCGTTTAAAAGGAGTAATTGGAAAATGGTATTCATAGCATGTGGCAGTATAGAAAGCATAGCTGAATGGCAGGTTACAAAATGAGACCTATGATACACAATGTCACTTACCAGCTTGCCAGAACTTTCCTCAGTATGAACCTTCATATATATCAAATGAAGTTTTGATTAGAGAACTGTTGTTGTGATGGATGTTAATAAGAAATAAGAGGAGTAGGAATTTGTGTGAATGTGACATTATTTGAAAAATAGTAAAATTTTTGCTTCCTTGGATTATACTATATTAAGGACAATGTACTCTCATTTAACTGAAGTTGTGATTGTCATGAATCCTAAATTTTGTGGTGCAAATATTCCTATCTTCAAGAAAAATAATACACATGTGCATGTATATAATGTTTACATAGTAAGTGACCTATCAATGTGTTTAAAATCATAAATCATAACAATAAAATAAATTTGTAAAGTATAAATCATACATCCACACTTAATAAAAAGAAAGAATGGGAGAATGAATACTGTTTTAGTAATGACCCTAATGATTAAAGAACATTATAAAAGAAGGATCAAAAAATGAGTATTGGAAAACAGTTAAGATGTCACTTGACATGCCCACATCTCAGATTAGAGCGCATGGGCTCCATTCCCGGCTCCTCTTTCAGTTACAGTTGTTCTTTTAATTGCAACCGTAATTGGCTCAGTAGCTGGTTTGCTAGCATCCTGTGGGATGCATACAAGATGTCCAGGCTTCTGGCTTTGTCCTGGCTCAGCCCTTATGGTTGCAGACATATGAACCAGCAGAGAGAAAATCTCTCTCTCTCTCTGCTTCTCTGTGTGTGTCTCTCTCTCTGCCTTTCAGATAAATGAAAATAAATAAATAAATAATATTTTAAAAAAGGGACAGAATGACAGCAGAGGACAACTACATACTTCAGAATATAAATATATATATATTTAAAAAGAGAAGAACAAATAGCAGTGCAGCAGAAAAAAATACACTTCAATAGTGGCAGTTTATCGTTGACCTAATGACAAGGTCGAGTATTATGCACTGAGTGTAAAATTAATGTCAAATACAAATGGGCTTTTCATCTGGATGACACTTGCTAATGCAAAGCATTTTTAAAAAGAAGCCATCAGCAACACTTGGGGAAAGATAATTCTGCAAAGGAGAAGTAATTCATGTCATTTATTTTAAGAGGAAAAATAAACCCTTGAGAGCAAAGCTTTCATTTCCAGGTTTAATTTTGACGAAAAAGAGTCCGATGCAGACAAAAGTCAAATAGATATCAATAATTATTTCTGTTCACCTGGAACCAAGATAGTAATTTAATTTGTATTAAGGCAAAATTGAACATTTTTCATTTTGCTGATAAAAGAACTTTGTGTAATATGGAAACTTAACCAACTTACCATTTAGTGTACTAAAAAGGAAATGGCAAACAGTGTAACTTCTATTAATAATTCTTGATATATTATGTGTGTGTTAAATCTCTAACCAGAACTGTGCTTTCCAGTGCCTCTGTATCCGTGACTACTTTTCGTGGATAGAACATGAATATAAATCAGCAGTAATGCTTCTGTATTTAGTCACTTAGGAAATGGACATCGTTCCTTATCTACCATTCTTCCCCAATCTTCTATTCAATCAAGAAGGTTAAGATGTTTTAGGAATTAAAAGGGATGGTAGAAATCACCACATGCGAATTTACTGAGTACTATCAAATGACTGTCAGTTGAAGAGAAATAGAAGACTCAAAGAGATAGTTAGGTAGAGATAGAGAGAGAGAGAGACAGAGACAGAGAGAGAGAGAGTTTTAAGGACAACACCCCACTGATTTCTCTCACAGTGACTACTCTATTTCTAACAATAATAAGTAAATCTGCACATCCCAGCACCTCTTTTTCTTACATTTTTGGGAAAATATTAGGTATATATCATTGAATATTTAACATTTTTCTGTAAGTCCCTCAAAAAATTCTCTGGAATCTAATTAAAATTGCTCTAAATTCTTACTTTCATCCTAGCAGAACTAACACTTGAACATTATCTAAGAATATTGTATTTTACTTCTTTTAATATCATTTTCCTAATCTAAAGATTGTTTTGATACTAATTAATTCTATAATGTTACTGGTAAAAGCATTCCTAAAAATTACACCTCTTTATTTTTATGTATTTTCTACATTTTCATTTCTATGCCCTGATTACCAAGGAAAAATATATTTATTATGTCTTCTACATTGATGCAATTATTTTAACGTACAATTCTTGGGATTTCATTTGTGTGACTTCATGATTCAGCCTCTTTTTCCTGGCATTTTTCTGTAGTGAGATCATGTTATGTCATTTGTTATAGCTTCCATAGAATATTGAGTATGATGGTAATAATCATTTCATCTATTTCCTGGTTTTAATAGAAATAGTTTCTAATATCTGAAAGTAATTTCCTTCAGTTCATATTTGACATAGGATAATCTTGGAAATTCTGCATAATAATATACTTTTCAATTCAGTTCATATTTGACATAGGATAATCTTGGAAATTCTGCATAATAATATACTTTTAATTTTTCTTAAAATTAATAAGGTTCTGTTCTCCTTAACTAGGCAGATTGCAATGGAATTTCCTAAAGCTGAACCATTTTGCATTTCTGAATACTTCTGGTTGTTTTTAAAAAATCTTCTACTTATATAAAAATATTCAAATATTGCTTCCCTTATATAGGCCCAAATTCCAACAACTCAAGGACACATTTTTTTGGTAAAATAATGGCAAAATCACATTTTCAATCAGTGCTTGACTGATGCACCAGCTACTTCTCTGGAGACAAATGTGCAAGCCATCTGGCAAGTTGACTGCCAACACTGCAGACAATTACCATTTCACCCACTAATTCCATCTGAGAATTTATCTTTTAAGTTTACTAGTAGAGATAACAGTACCTACTTATGGACTACAGTCTGACAGGTGAATTACACGCAAACCATATGTACTAATTGAATCAGGCAAAAAATATATTTCTTCATTGACATTGCTTTACGATTAAAGTCTTGGAACTCCTCCATCCTGTTTGCTCATAAAATGAATACTAGACTATTTTAATTATAATCACTCCACAATACTATAGATTTCTTGATCTAACTCTTATTTGGAATCTGTTATTCCAAACTCTTGTAAGTATGTTTGTGTTTAGTTAGCACCGAAGACTGGATCACAAGCATTGATAAGGTAGAGAAGCATCAGTATCAAGACTGTTTTGTTTCAGATCAAAGAAAAACAAAGTACAGTCACACAAGTAAAAACCAATACCATAGCTGCTGACAATACATACAGGACACACACACAATTTTAGACGCAGTGTCTTGGCACCAGATTCTTTATTAATTGAGCACATAGTGACATTTCTTGTTACTTTCTCCTCTATTCTTCTCTGATTTGCTGATTAAGGCATAATTCTTTTTAATCAACTTAATTTCTTTCAATCCCATAGTTATTATAAATGCTCACCAATGCTTTTCGTGTATATTTTGCTATAATAATTATCCCCAAACTGTTATTGCCCAAGGTAAATTAACACATACTTTCCAGTTCACGAGGAAGTTCTGAATTCTAGTTTCTCACTTCTTCTAAACTATGTTTTAACTGGGAATTAAAGAAAAAAAAAGAATGGAGAAACTGCTTATTAACATAAATTTAGCTCATATAGTGGGCTAAGTTAAGAGTGAAGATATTTCATAATTAAATCTTAGAAAAATGAAGACAAATAATTTCCAAAAGATACTTGATGCACCTGTTTATTAAATAATTGACCCATTCGTTCCAAGAATGAGTATGTGGAAGACTTTAATCTCCTAATCTCTCATCAGGTTTTGCTGCAGTGTGAATCATGTTTGAATGCTTAGCCAGCTATATTGAAGATGAGACACATGCATGAAGAAGACCGGGCAGCAGCAGATGGATTACAGAATGGACACAGAAGGTAGAAACAGATGGAGTACAGTGAACATGAAAATGATTCACCTTGGATAAGGTGATTGAATCAGGTAGGAAAAAAAAGTAAATGTGGAGGCTACCAATTGTATATTCAGGGTGAAGCATTTTTTTCATAATGTGTGACAAAAGGCAGACAGGAGGTTTACAATTGGGATTTAGGGGATTTAAGAAAAATCAAGGAAATATAGCCAAGTTATGTTAGAAAGTACATATGTAAGTGACCAAAGTAAATACATTTTTCTATGTTGAACAACCAGTTGAAATAGCTGACATATTTTCTTTTTTGTCCTACTCAATCAAAAGCTTCTTGGTTTAGATTAAAAAAAAAAATTACTAGAAAAACCAAGAATTTACACTGTTACAATAAGAAAGAAAGGTAAAAAGCTGGTTAAAAATATTAAAAACCAGACAATTAATGTAGGTTTTTGTATTTTTTTCTTTATTTACTTTGCATTTACCACAAAAAACCAGCAACCAATGCAACACATATACATAAATGTGGCATTTTGAAAGTTACAACAATAGGTTTTTTTATAAAGTACATATATGTAGAAATACATTGTATTTTTGATGTGTTATCTTGGTAGGTACAGCATACACAGAAGATTTCATTTCAATGAAAATTTATAATTCATGAACTTTAACTTAATAACAGAAAGTTACATTGCCTATCTAAAATCATTCTTTAGAATGGTGGGAAATTGGTTATTTTATGGATCCAGATACTTGGAGTTTGAGCAGAATTCTGTACTTTCAGCGATATTTCAATCATTAATACCAATGTTTAAATGTTTATAAGTCAATCAGATGATATTAAATTATAATACAATGCAGCAGCAACTACAACAAGAACCCAAACACTGAGTAACTTAGAGCTGCAAGTGTGATTTGCTTGATTTTGTTTCTCCTCACTGAAGTTAAGTATTAGCGCATGTTCCTTCAGGCTCCTGAACTGCATCTTTCTTATAATGTAGTGACTACTACAATGGATGTCTCTGGAATCTAAAAATATCAGACATCAAAAAATGTTTTGTGCTGTCTTTGGAATTTGTCTAACCACAAATGAGACAAATCACTGCCACTCAGTTTTCCCTGGAGATAATCAAGAAGAGCAACAGAGCTTGATAATGATAGAAGGGAAAGCATTCAAAATCACTGGATAAAAAGGCAAAGCTAGATCCCGTGTGAAAAACTCCAGTATGTTCTACACTCCTGTAAAATAAAAGACATTGAAGTGTCTTATTGTGTAAATGCCAAAGCTTCCAAGCAAACATTAATTTTTATTAGTCATTCTTGCTAGAAAAATTAATTTGCTCTCACTGTTTCCCATGTCAACCAAACACCAAAGTTTAATTTGGAATTCAAACTGCCGTTTAACATTTGGATGAGGAAAAATTATTTTTTTCCAGGTTAAAAATGGAGAAATACTCCTTATGGAGTTAACTGAATGTAAATGGTACTATAAATTTGATTCCAGCTCTCTTGAAAATAAATTCCACATTTATATGCTTCTGTAATTAGTTCCAATCAGAAAGCTATAAATATGTAAAAATTTTACCCATCTATCACTTGCGTTTCTAGTTTAAAGCTCTTCAGCTGAAATGACAAACAAATGCTGAGCACAAATTGCCTCAATGTGGATTTATCAAGGATTAAAATAAAAGCTACAGATGACTACTCCCGTGTTCTTGAGTTTTAAAACCTATTTTACCTTTTACTGAATATAATAATCATTGTTCTCTATAAATCAGAGATGACTAAAGAAACGATATCACCTTAGAATTGAAAGGAAATGTCCATTATTAGGGAGGCTTGGGAGAGAGGAATGAATCCTTTTTATTCATCACCTGAAAGATTGCCCAATGAGAGTGGCAGCAGAATGGGAAGATAAAATTGCTTATTAAACATCTAGCTGCAAGACTATTCGAGGTTGTGGTTGCCTTTTTCTTTCAGTATAATCCTATTTAAGCCATGGTGTTCAATGTAGTTTGGTGTATGAAAAATGTCAAAAGGCTAATACACATCCAGGGGTGGCCGCGGTATTGTACATAGGCATCTAACCTTTTAGAAATCGACAGAAGTGCTAAAGCGTATTGTGTAAGGAACGGATGCTTTCCACATCACAAATAGTGAAACTTGTAAATATGAAAGCTGTCCTCACTCACTAAATTTTCACAGATGAACCTCATCTCATGTTTTAGGGGAAAGTGATGAGATTTATTTCAATATAAATCTCCCTTATAAGTAAAAACAGAAAGTCAAGAATAAAAATATGAATAATACATAAATTATTGGGTCTGGTCACCACCTCAGCACCAACAACTCAAACGGACACCAGTTTCAGTTTGAGCTGCACCACTTTGGATCTAACTTCGTGTAAATGCACCTGAAAAAGCAGCAGAAAATGACCCCAAGCATAGTGTGCCTGGCATCCATGCAAATGACCAAGATAAGCTCTTGTCTCCTAGCTTCAGACCGGCCTAGGCCCAGCCACTGAAGCCACTATGAAACAGTGGATGCACGAGATCTCTATCTCTCCATGTCTCTCTCTGTAACTCAGATTTTCAAATAAGTAAAATAAATCTTTTAAAAATGTAAATTCTATGGATCTCCTAATCCTAAGGCTTGTCAAAATGACATATGAAAGAACACATATACTATTTCAAATATGTGTCACTCAGTGCAGCTACATGAATAAAGATCCCCCAAATGGCCACAAACAACAGTGATTAATTATTGCAGTATGATTATGATAATCAAAAGTAGGTTTGATGTAACAAAGCCGTTTTTATTTTATGGATTTGTTTTAGCTCAGCCAATGAGATTCTTATCTCTCTTAGTTTAAGCATCCCTTTTCACAATCTTGAGAGTTCCAAGGCAAACACCTTTTAAAGGATTCCCTCTTTCAGATCTTGGGAACTCTCTGGCATGGCTTTATTCCTGAATTCTACCAGACTTCAAAATAATAGCTAATTTCAATTTTTCTCAAAATATTCAAAGCAATTGAAGGACTTGGAAATCCTCCAAAACTCCATCTAATACTCCAACATCGCTTTGACTCCACAACCAGAAAGAGATACAATGGATGAAAAGAACTTAAGACCAATATTCCCAAAGAACATATATGCAAAAACACTCAATGAAATACTAGCTTTTGGGCTCCAGAAACACATCAGGAAAACCACTCACCTTGACCAAGTGGGATTTGTCCATTGTGCAGGGATAGTTCTTCATATGTCAATCAGTAAATGTGACAAAATATTAATAAATTTGAGAATAAAATAGTTGTATCTTGATAGAGACAGAGGAAACATTTGATAAAGTACAACGTACTTTCATAATAAAACCAGACTTCCTATTGAATTTATCAGTTATGATTTTTTACCCTACAACTGTGATTTTGTAGTTGCATAAATAAAATCGCAGGCCAAATCCTTAAATTCTATGCAATTTATTTAGATGAGAAAATCTTTACACTTCTTCATAATGTTATATGATGTTATTTTAACACTAACTTTCCAACAAGTAGAAAATTTTTGAATCTGGTACAGAATCATTGGTGGTCTATATGGGTTTATTGAATGATGATTATATTTGCATTTATCATCAAGAAGTATATGTGTCACAAATAAGACACATTTTACAAACCTTTATGCATTGACTTACCTGAATTAAAACAACAGAAACTCAGTGAGATACAAATATAGTTTTCATTATAATTGATGCCAGAATTAATGCTGTATTACTTGACATTCATAAAATGTTTAGTAAAAAGAAATAACAATTACTCAACATGTAATGCATTAATTTTTGTGATGAAACGTAATTGCATTGTCACATTTATTTTGTCTTATCTTTACATTTATGATTTAACATTCTTCTTTATGCTTGAGAGTTAAAAGTAAATTTAAACCATCTACTTGTGTACCAATGGAAAACAGGGAAGTACATAAGATTAGAAGTTAGTAAAGAAAGAAAAAGTAACAAATTCAGATATTAAAATATGAAAGAATAAGCGGTGGAAGAGGAAGATATTAGGAAGAAAGAAAGACAAGGAGAAGGATAAAAGGCATGTGAGAAACTAAGATTAAAATTGGATTACCCCTATCCATTTCATAAGGACTGTGAAACAAGAAAAACTTCCTTGGAAGACAGCTGCATTAGTGATGATTAGCTGAATTATATACAATAATACTGGTTATTTTATGTAAGCAACGTCGTATAAGTAAGATATAAGTATGATGGCTGTGAAAAATTAGTGAAGACTATACTGAGGATTAAGTAACGCTTTAATCCCTGAGGTAGGAGTAGGGATTTGAAAATAGTGTTGCAAAGCAGAGATTTCCAGAAAGAAAAACCAACAAATCTTCTAATTCTAGTAACTGGAAGTAGCTTAACACACTTCTGTGTTACAGGAAAGGTTTCTGTGAGGATAACTGGAAGAACAATGTCTGATGGTTGAGCACTTCAAAGTCTTTACCACAATCTTGTCACATACTTTTCCGCCTGCATAGAAACTCTGCTTTCACCTAGGACCCAACAAGTAAAGACATGATGCTGGGAGAGCATAAGACCTCCCACTGGCATCACTCAGACAGTGTCATGCTCATGTTCAATAAGTGTTTAAATATTTTCAATATAATCACTTCATTGTTAAAGATAAAATGAGAACCTTAATGATGAATCAGTGCGAAAGAGATCTCAGTGTAACCTTCAGAACTTTTAAATGCACTCTTGAGTTTAGTTTTGGCATGTGAATTTCATGATTAGAAATATACCAATATCAAACCCTGTAGGGGTGAGAGTGTGAAAGGATGGAGGAGGGAAGCATTCCTGCCTTCCTTCCAGAGCAGAATAGAGGGCTACTACACCATGGATGTTAAATATTAATTCTCAGAACATGAGAATCAAATTTAGCGCTCTCATCTGGTCACACAATATTGAAATAGTGTCTAGACTTACTGATTGGCATCTGAGTGCCTGTTTCTCATTAAGGTATAATACCCTAGCTAAACAAGAAAGTAGTTGAGTCCTTAAATGAGATTTTCCA